GAGAGAGAGAGAGAGAGAGAGAGAGAGAGAGAGAGAGAAAAATCAATTCGAGTCAGCAAAGGGAAAACTCATTCCTATTAATTGGAAAAATACCGTTACTTTTCAACACTATACCTTCTCGTCTTTCTTCTTGAGATCCTGTTTCATTATCGCTATTTGCTCCTCCAGACTTTTCAAAATGAACATCTGCTCCAATTCTTTGTTCAACGCGTCGATTTGATTGTTCTTCTCCTCCAACTCTTTGGTCAGATTGGCCACCATTTCCTCGCAATTATTCAATTTGTTCATCAAATCTTCGATATCGATGTATTCAGGCACAGTGACCGTCTCGACCACTTTCACTTCCCTCGGCTCCTCTATCTCTTTTATCTTTTTTTCGCACTGGGCCAACGCGCGTTTCAAATCGGCCACTTCGGCCTTAAGGCTCTCGTTCTCGGAGCGCAGATCTTCGCAGCTTTTCGAGATGGACACCAACGTCTCGACTGGCTCCCCTTTCATGAGGTCACGAAGCTTCGCCCTTAGACGATGTATCGCCGGGCAGCTGACGTCCTCCTCGATCCGCGCCAATTTCAACTTCAATTCCGATATCGTGTCTCGCAATCTGTCGAGAAAGGGCGAAAAAAGTTCCTTTGACACTTTTAGAAAAAATTATGGGGTACGAGGTTTTATTTTTTTTAAAAGTTTCAGCTCTAAAGTTTTATGATTCAGCTTGTTTTGATTCAGAGTGAGAGTTTAATTTCTAGATCGTTTCGAAAGACAGTGAATTTTACTTGTATCCGAAAGAGATGGAGAAATAAAATGTTAATATGATAATATTTGATTTTGGAAAAAATATCGAGCGTTTTCAAGTTTTACTACATGCTAAGAGATCAGCTATCCTGGATCATTTAAAAAGAAAAATTAAATTGATATTTTTATTAGTTTCTAAAACAGGTTATAATATTTTCGTATATTTCCATCAATTATTGTAAATAAATTTGAATATTAAAAAGAAATAAAAACACAGATTGCGAATAAAAAACGATAAATCTATTTAGAGAAATGTTAGCAATAAAATATCGAATATTAACGAACAATATAAGAATGATTACATTCACAAGCTAAGCTTTGAGATCAAGTGTCTTACATAATCTAATCCATAAATAAATTATACAAACATTTAAGAATGAATCAAACAAGATTTATCGAGAACGTTGTGCGAATACACCAAAGAAAGATTTTAACAATACTTATGAAAAAACATTGGAATATTCATTAATTAATTAACTCTTCAAATATATATATATATAACATATATACGCCGTACGCATTACTAGAAAATTATAAAATATTAAAGAAATCTGACTGAAATCACGTTTTAATTTCTTTCGCATCTAAATTTCTTTTAAACAAACACAAATACTTCTGCCGATTTATTTGCAAATTCGTCCGAAACGCATCACCCTGTATCGCGTCGTCGTTTTCCTAATAATTCGCCGACCGGAATAGGAAACGATTAAACGAGATCTACGAGGTTTACGAGGGAGAGAAAGTGGCAAGCAGTACTCTTTCTTTTCAAGCGCGAAACGCTCCCTAAAATATCTCATCTTCTCCCTGAGGAAGAAAATCGTGGCGCCAGGATCGTCGCAACAGTCTCGTTCGGCGAGAGTTTCCTCCAGATCCCTCACTTTATCTTCGAGCGCCGCGTTTGCATTTTGCAGCCTTTCGATTTCTTCCCGGGAGTGCACCAGCAGTGGATCGGGCTTCAATATCTCATCCGCATTTACACCTACACAAAAACACATCTAATCTTTAGGAACATTCGGAACAGTGCACGTGCACACCTCGATATACAGCTCCAAGAAAGAGCTCTCTGAATTTTCAACCGAAAATCCTTGAAGCGAGAAAGTCTTCGGATCTACCGTTCGAAGAAACGGTTTGTATCGCTATTACTAGCGGATGTGTAGGATAAATGTGTGATAATCTATACGATATATAGAAGAAATTGTGTAAATAGCATCGAAAAGAATGATGGAAGCGAGAGATTACCACACTTTTGAAGGAGATAGGAGAGAAAGACGTAAGAATAATTATTTATTCTAATCGACGTTACTTTTTTATTCTTTTGGGAGAATTTTTTGAATTTTTTCCTCTTTTTAAATAATAATTCCATCGTACAGAATATGATCGTACAATTTTCTTGTCGATCACTTTCGAGTTCAAAATGATATCTATAAAAATATTCCGCTCATAATTCCGCACATTGCTCATAAATCCCCGTAACGATCTTAATATTCATTTCGAGGCATTAATTTGCATTGTCGACAACATGGGAACAATTTCGAGCTAATCAAATTAAACGAGACACCCGGTGTGTATAATTTCACCCGTTCTGCTTTTTGCAGCGCTAATTGCACGGAACGACTACCCCCTACTAAACGACTAATTCATAAGGGAACGAGGAGAAACTCGAACGAAAGGGTATCCGTACAGAATTCCAATTAATCAATTTCGCGCGAGCCACCTGCTAGTCGAAGCAGAGAGAGAAGAAAGGAAAAGAGAAGAGAGAAAGAGAGATAGGGAGAGAATGGGAAAGATACGAAATATCATACATCGATACCGAATGTCTGGAGGGTTTGTTTCAGAGACCTATTTTCGCTCTCGAGCTGAAGTCTTTCCATTCGCCACTTCTTCATCTGACACTTCATTATCGTGAGCTTCCTCAGGGCAAACGAGAGGTCCTGGATCTCCGACTCTTTGGAAGTGTCTTTGAAGGGATTGTAACTGCAGCAACAGCAAGGCTCGTTCGGGAAATCGGCCGATTCCAACGACGCCATTATCCGGCTAATCTTTTCGAGTTTTTCAACGTAATTGCAAACCGAGACGAGAATTTTAAGATCGATCTGTACCTACAAGAAGGAAACGTGGAGTTCAGAAGCCGAGGGAAACTCGATGAAAAAAGAAATGCTCGGTCGTTAAAGGAATTTTAATATATAGATTGATTTATTTTAAGTTAGTTAAACAATTATTTCCTCCCCCCTCGAGTTATCTACCACTCGAATAATTTCTTTTATTTTAATTCTACGATTTCAGTTATTTAGGATTAATTTATAATAAACGTATCGAACAAGATCATTCGATGCAATGTATATAAAAAATTATAAATTAAATTCATCGTAAATAACATTTTAACATTCAATTTCACGCGTCTAAATATCGTCTAAAATAACGGGTTCGTATTTAATCTTACAACGCTCGTTCGCGGCAAGTTTCTTCACGAGGGATAATGGCCAAACATTGTTAAAAAAAAAAAAAAAAAAAAAAAAAAACGGCAAGAAAGATAAACGCTTTGACTTGAATAAAATACATAATTCATAAGTCCGTTCATAAAGGAACGTAACCGCGGCTGAAAGGGCTATGAATTCGCATCAAGGCCATTATCAACGGTTACGGTACAAGACTTGCCACTTTTAAAGGAACGTAAAACCGCGTTTGGGCATTCGAACGATCGGTGTCCTTACTTCGTTCCCGATCCTCTAAATTCCCATTCCATCCATTCGCCTTATCATATTTTTACAGGTTATCCGTAACGTAACTGTTCCTCGGCCGCAAATCGCGACGAGTCATCGATGTAAGCGAATTTATCGGTCGTAAACCGATTATAGACAGTCCGTCGCGCCTAAGCGCGAAACTGCCCCAACGCAGGACAAAACATTTAGCCTGGATACGTGTATACGCGAAAGAGGAAGCCAGGTTAGGGTGATGTATATTTCACAGCGGCAGTCACACTTTTGCTGCCACACGACCGCGGTCATCGATGAAGATCGATAATCTGATTTAACGTCAGACCGGTCTGTTTTATTGGGGCCGCGTAAATAAATTCGTTCAAATCTCGATGACGGTTAGGTACGATAACGTTTTTCATTCACCGATATTATTTATTTATTGGGAAACTGGTTCGGTGTGCGAGCACGATTTACGATTACTTCCATGATTTTTAAATTATAGGACATCGGCCAAAAAATATTTTCTTTTGCATGCGATTGATTATTCGTCATTCTTTTTCATAATCTAATAATTTGATTAGATACATTTTGGATTGTTCTTCGTCGAGCGAATATCTGAATCAATGAACTGTTAATCCTTTAAATGCCAGAACAACGAACAGATCCTGTTTTATTTTTATCATTACTTACGAATTTTGAAAGAAAAAAAAAAAAAAAAAGATACAGAATTTCATTTATTGTATTTAGTATATTTACTTATAGTAATTGAGAATGCTTTAATATTCTCTCATTAATTTTTAAACGCGTTATATTTACATATTCTCGTTTCCCCAAATTAGATTTATATTCATATCCTCGATAAATTTATGAAAATTTCGTCCAAACCCAATGAAATATCTTTTTTAATCAATTCGAGCAGATTGGTTCAGGAATTTCTGCGAATCCTGCCGGTATCTAAGCATTAACGTTGCACACGTTTCCGAGAGAGATCTAATTACAGTTGCGTTATTAAAATACATTCCGTTTGTATGCAACTCGTCGACCGAGCTCATCTTTCGAAACGCGAAAACTGGGAGTCCCTTTCCGCCATTTCCGCTTTATACATCCGATACAAGCGATACAGGGAGACGTCGTGGATGTAATTAAAAGGGCGCGGAGGGGAAAGCTTTCTTTCCGGAAAGTTGTCTCGTTAAAAAGGGAATCGTTGGTCCACGACTAGACTAGCAGTTACTTATCATCCAGAGATTTGGCGAAAAGTTTCGAAAGAAACCGGAAACTTTCGAATCGTATCCCCATCCGTGGAGTTCCGCCATGTTCGCGTAATTAAATTAGGGGAGAGGCCTCCGTTAGAATTTCGTTATTAAAGCCTCGATATTAACTTTTACATATTTATTATAAAACTTGGATGAAACTTCCGGAGAAAAAAAAAAAAACTTGGATGAAACGAACGACGATTCCGTTTTGTCATGATTAGTTTCGTAGAGAGAACTCTGTATACTGAACGCGGAGAGGAGGGATATAAAGATGTTCGATCTTTCGAGAAGTTGAACAATTTATATTAATTCTCTTGAATTGCCAATAAACGCGAGGAATCGAAGAGGCGATTATTGATAATGATACGCTGTATTAAAAGTTTTGAATAATCACTTGGATGGGTATACATATATATATATATATATTTTAAGACTTTCGATTAAACGACATTTCAAAGGTTAAAACGAGCAGAGAATTCTTTTAAAGTATGAAGATAGTTTTTCTGAGTGGAAATGTCAATTTGATTGTTAAATCGTTCGATTAATTTATTATTAATGATTATTTTAAAATTAGTAAAATTATTTTATTAAACGTATTTCTCTTCGAGTAATGTCAATAATTAATTTTGTTATATATTTTTTAATTAACAAGTTGATATATAACAAGAACTGGCTACTAAAACGAATCATCGATATGCGTTAAACTCTCGTGTAAAAGTTAGTTCACAGCTACGAAACTTTTGATTCACGTTCAATTTAAACGATTGATAATTGAATTACAATTCACCAACTCTCGTTAAGAATATTATATTGGATGTTCCAATTTTAAGAAACTTATACAACGATACGAAAGTTTTCCAACAATTGCAAAGAGATTTATCTTCGGTTCAATTACTTATACTCGTAAATTTATTACACGAGAGTATCTTTTTAATTAAATCTGCAAAGTGAAAATTTAGAAAATTTAAAACAGTGTAGCAAAACTAATATTTGACATTACATTAAAAAAGAAAAAAAAGATTAAATCTAGATAAATATAATTATCAATACAAATGCATGCTCTGTATTTAAAATTTATGATAATTTTATTCAAGAAATTTATCATAAATAAATTTATCCTTGTAAAAATTTGTTATTATTCTATTCTTTACCTACTTTTTAATAATAATACGTTTATCTTAGATAAATTGACAATGAAATCTTTCAGCATTTTATAAAAATTTAATCTAATGTTTATATAAATATATTGAAATATATTCTGTTCATATATATATATCATGTGAATAATATTTATTTTATTTATTAAAAAAAATTAAAAAAAGAATTAAAAAATATATATATGTACAAAATATTATTCTATAATTTATTCTAAACAAAAGACATGCATCATTTCTACGACCTGAAACTACAAATATATGTCAAATGAATTTTCAGTGACGTAACCACAAACATTCAAACCATAAAATTTTTTCAAAAGTTCCGTAAAAATGTAATATGCTTCAAGAAAAATGAAAATTTCATTCAGAGGATGAAAATTTTATGTAAAGATGCAATAAATTTAATAATTCTTTCTGGCATTTGAAATATCTTTTTACTGCAATTATATTTAAATCTGCAAAAAAAAGTTTAACAAATGTTCGTGCAGAGATTTCAAGGTACAATATCGTATAACTAATATCAAAATAATTATATCATTTAATTTTCCATACACGAAGATTAACCTAGAAAATTAATTAAAAATTCTCAATATAAGTTCTTAGAATCCATACCATTATTCATACGATTTATTAACGCAAATAATGAATTAATTCGAATATTATACCAATTTGCAAAGATCATTAATTAATCCTGCAACGATACATTCAAGTATTTCACAAGGATGTTCATTTTCATATTATATTCTCCCAAAATAGTTACAAATATAAAATTTATTTAACAATGCTTCAAATACGTTAATCGTCCAAAATTATTGAATATATTATTAAATTTTTAACAGTTTCAACATAAAACACTATACTATATTGTTTAAATGCTATACTATTTAATTACAAATAAGGAATAGAATCATTGCAGGATTAATTTGATCAAATATCTCAATTTGATTTACCACATAAATTATACACATTTATTGTTATTGCAACTTTCAGCACTCCCGATTCCTTTTTCAATCAAAGATAAAATCATTCTAACGCAAACAACTCTTATCCAACCGAATTACAAACAATTATCTCCTATCCCTATTAAAAAAAAAAAATAATAATAAATCGAACATTTCGATCTGCCTGACCGATACTCGAGAATCTAACAACAAAGATGAACGAATTTCTCGACAATTGCCACTCGATCGAGCAAACTGGCGATGACGTGTTCAAAGACAAAACGAGGATAGCGGAAGTAGCTGCTGCCACGTTGTGCAGATTGAACAGCATAATGAAGCAGATGAAAGACTGGCGGGACGATCGCATGAAATTGCGATCCAACATATGGCGTTTGAAGCTGGCGTTACGCGTTGCTGGAAGGGAGACGGACGGCAGTGTCCACGCTGACCCATTGATCGAGCAACAGAAAGAGGAAATCAAACGACTGGAGACGACCAACAGGGAATTGAAGAAGGAGATTGCCAATATTAAATCGAGTCTGCTCAGTAAAGGGTACGTGACGCAGGAAACGGATTGGAAATCCGACGACAAGCTCGTGGAAGTTGAGCAGGAGTATTTGATGGAGAGGGAACGTTTGAACAACGAGATCCAGTATCTGAAAAGTCGGTTGAACGAGGTCGAGGAGGGTCATGTACACAGTTCGGAAGTGGAACACTTAAAATGCAAGCTGAAGCACTTCATGATGGTCGACTACACTATGGAGATTATATTCACCGATATAGTTAACAAAGTGGCCGAGACCATAGCGAATTTGTCCGAGGAGTTGGTGAACGTGAACGAACGTTTGCACAAGTCCCAAATGAGGAACGACAATCTTTACGTGGAGATCGATAAGTTGAAAGCGATGCTCAGATTCAAGAACGGCAACCTAATGGATTACCAGAGGAGGATAGTCGAGCTGGACAATGTGACGAAACGTTTGAAAACGGAAGTGAACAAGTTCAAGGTTAATTACGACGAGAGCTCGTGGAGCATCGGGTCGAGCAATTTGAAAAACGTGGAACGTTTCGTCAACGACTTGAAGTACAAGTTGAGGAACGATCACGAGGCTCTGCTTGGCGGCGGCGATCCGTATTGTTTCATGTACATTCAGAAAATCATCGAGTTGCGGATCAATTTGCGACAATTGCACATCGATTTGGCAAAATCGATCGGCAAGGAGCACAGGACCTCGGGGAAATTGATGGAGCACAACGAATACATGAAACAGCTTTCCAAGTTGGACTCGATATTGAAAGAGATCAACAACGAGATCGACAAGTTGAAGAGCAATCACGTGAAAAGGCATTATAAAATCGGCGATTCCGAGGGTCTCGAGTATTTGAATAAAATAGTCGAGCTCGAGGCGATAATCGAGGAGATACAATCGGCGATGAACAGGTTGAATCGTTGCTCGAAAGGGAAGTCGAACGAGTCGAAGGACATAGAAAAATTGGAGGAATTCGTCGGTAGAGTGTGTCACGAGATCAAGCAATTGGAAGTGATCGTGGTATCGAGCGATCGTTTGAGCGTGTTCAAGAGGATCGACCAGCTCGAGGAGTCGATCGTTCGGTTGAAGACTGAATTGAGCAATAAGGAGGCGCACATGACCGACCTCGACCAGGAATTAGTGGACACGGACAGTATGTTGAAACAGAAAATGGTGGCGTTGCAGGACGCGCGCCACGAGATCACGATACTGATACAGGAGAACAAAGTGTTGAAGGAGAAGACGAACGTGATGGAGGAGAAGACGTCGGAGCTTCAATGCGAACACGACGACGTGAAGAAGGAGTTGGAACAGCTGCAATACGTGAAACACGAGGCAAATTTAACGAAGAAGAAATTACAAAATCTTCAGGGCGACAAAGAGGAGTTGTTGAACGAAATGCAGAAAATTCGCGACGCCCTGAACAAGAAAAACGAGGAGACGAAGATCGTTCTTGCCGAAAAGAATACAATGGAGAGGGTGTTCAACGTGAAAATCGCGGATTTGTCGAAGAATCTTCAGATCAGTTCGAAGGAGAATGAAAAATTACAGAATAAGGTGAACGAATTGGAACGGATGAAATATAGGCGGGAAGCGTCGAACGTCGAGAAGGAGAACGAGAGCGCGAGACGGCTTAAGGACATAACGGAGAAGATGAACAACGAGATACAATTGTTGAAGGTAAACTTGAAAATTTCGAAGGAGGATTTCAATCAAGCGAATCGAGAGATCGCCGATTTAAAAATTAAATTGGAACATTTATCCGATGAAAAGACGAAGTTGGAGTCGAGCGTTGCTCAGTTAGAATCGAAGAAGGAGATACTGGTGTATCAATTGGCCGCCGAGAAAACTACCGCCGAGGAGAGGCTGAAAGAGATCACCAAGTTGAAATCAGATTACGTCGAATTAGACGTGGAGAAGGTGAATCTGAAAATGGAGAAGGAACAACTGAACGCGAATTTCACGAATTTGAAGGTGGAGAAGGAACAGATAGAGAAATCTTTAGAATTGGTTCAAAGCAAGTGTTCCGTGTTCGAAAGTAAAATTGACAAATATAAGTGCGAGCGCAACAATCTGCTCGAAGAAGTGAGAAATCTTAAGGTGACCAAGGAAACTTTAACCATCAAATTGGAAGAGACGAAGTCGCAGTTGGACGGAACTGGAGATAAGATAAGGCAATTAGACGTTGAAAATTCGAAACTTCACATTGACCTGAACGAATTAACTGTGAAGAAGACGAACCTTGAACAAGCTTTCGAAACCCGTGAACAAACGCTTTTGTCGGAGAACCACGACCTCGCAACGCGTGTTAACAAATTGGACGAGGAAAACCAGACGTTGAAGAATCAATTGAAGGAATGTAAAACGACAAACGAATATTCCAACGTCGAGTTGAGTAAACTTAAGACGGAATATGATAACGTGAAATTGGAAAATACGACTCAATTGGACGAGTTAAAGCAATGCAATGAGATGTTGAAGGAAATGAACAACGAGTTGAAAATGAAACTGAATGAAATTCACAGCGAGTACAGAATATTAGAGAATCAGTTGAAGATCTTGGAATTGATGAATACCACGTTGAAGAAGGAGAAAGAATTATTGGAAAAAGAATACATGAACACTCTGCAGAAATTGAAAATGGAGAGATTGGAGAAGGAAGGAATCACGTCGGGCAGCGAATCAGTTTCTACCGAGCAAAACGAAGATATGGGAAAATTTGAGAAACGCCTGAAAAAGGAAAAGATACCGGAGAAAGAAGTAATAAAGAAATTGATATTGGAAAATGAATCGTTGAAATTCGAAATATTAAATTTGAAGAGTCAAAACTATGAAATTAAAACGCAATTGACTCAAACGAAGGAAGAGATTCAAAGGCAAAAGTCGAATGCCGTGGAAAAAAAGACGAATGAAACGACGATTAAACCTATCTCGAACAAGTTGGAGATAGTGAATCTTTATTACAAAGAGATTAACAGTTATTCGTCTCGTGGTTTGAAGAATACAGAGGCGGTGACGCACATAGACCAATCGAGTTTATGCCTGTATGAGGGTATGAATCGTGGATCGGACCTAGAGATCGAAAAACTACTGGAAATAATGAACAAATTGAAAGTGGAGAACATTGCCTTGAGAATGGAAGTGAACTCTTTGAGATGCAACTTGATTATTAATTTCTCTGAAGAAGAGAAGAAGAAGAAAGACCTACGAATAGCCACGGATGAGATTCAAGCATTGAAATCGGAATTGAAGAAACTGAGGGACGAAAGAGAATCGTTGCGGATTAAATTCAATACAACTAATGCGAAATTGGATCTGTTAGAATCTGAGAAAGCTGCTTTGAAGAATGAACTGTATACTATAAGAAATATTAATTCCGATTTTAAACAAAAGATAAGCGATTTAAACAGCACTTACCAAAAAACGAAGGAGAAGAATTTAGTATTCGAGAATTGTATCGTGAAGGCAATTAAAAAGATAGAGAAATATACTTTATGCGATAATATGCAAATCAAAGGTAATAACGAATTGAAGATACTTTTGAAGAAATACATATCAAACGAAGAAATTTTGCAATCCATTGAACAAAGAATAGATATAGAAACGACATGAATTTTCTGACAATGAATATCGATAAAATTAATTTGTATTAAAGTGAATTAAATTACAATAAATATGAAAATTTAGAAAGAAAAGAGCAGAAATGTAATAACTAATATTTAAAATGAGCTTAAAAAAATTTTCAAATTTTAATAACTTTATCAAACAGATTAATAAAATATAATTTCTTAAATATTAAATTTACGAGTTCCTAATCTAATAATTAATCACTTAAATCTCTAATATAACAAGACTCTAATATAAGCTGCACTGATATAGTTCCGTGACGCTTTTAAATTGGTAAAAAAAGTTTTGAAGAATCTCGCAAGTTTCGTGAGAGAAACTTCAAGGTCCAATTAGTTTAATTACCAATTTATTTCGAAAAGTATCTTCGAACATCGTTCTGATAAAAGATGAATGTAACAAATTTATAAATATTAATTAAAATGATTATGTACCAATCAACCTNAAATATATATATATATATATATATATATATATATATATACATACACAAATACTCATATATATTAATTTAATAGATAATAAAAATTAAAAATTATTTGATTAAAACAAATCAAAAATTAAAAATTAAAAAAAATTCAAATTTAAAAAAAAAATAAAAAAAAATAATAAATAGAATAATAAAATAAAACCG